ATGCCTTATCATTAGAAAAGAGAAAATCATTGAAAAGATCCAACTTTCAAGAGCAAATAAAGATCAAACAATGATGGCGGAAAGATCCCTCTGGGATGTTATGTTGAGGGTTTTCACAGCCATTTTCTTTAATAAGATAATTAGAAATTACTTAAAAGATAAGCGTGGAATAGGATTTATTTATTTTCTGAATATATAGGAGTACAGCGAATCATATAGGTTGTGCACATGAAGATCCCTTTTTTGTATCAGCAATAAATCCTACAAAATATCGTACCTTTAGAAAAGAACTTATTTTCGTTGCCTTATGTATTACTCGCATTTTCCCGTCCATTTGTAAACAAAAATATATACCCGGTTAAATTAGAAGTGTCGTGTTTGTTACACGGCATACCTTAGCGGATCTGTCAGTATGTACCCGTTTAAAGATAACATTTGTTGTCCGAGGCACACCACTCGTCGATCTCTGAGATGTGAAACTATATGACAGGAAGATTAATCAATGCGAGTTCCAGTGTAATTTCGAAAGCTATCGAATTAGAAATTACTTTTATAATCACCGATTAAAATTTGACTTAGATTCTTTTTCTATTTCATTACAACTACACGAGTTTTTCATTTAATTTTGAATCCGTAATATTAGTTAGCCATTTTACAAACCCGCGCAAAATTGTATCGCATAGTTGTGCGCCAGCATAGTGAGTGTGAGCGCGCGAAGGTTTTGGCGCGTTGTGCGCTACTGTAACTACATGATATAGGGGAAAGACACTATATCATCAGTGGACGTATTTTTATACACCAAATGCGTGATCTTGTTAACACTACTGCCTAAAACACAGAAGGGAGAAATGTTGAGCTGTAAATCATAAGTGAAGCTAACACAGATAAAATTAGGTTATAGTTGAAGATCTGTTTTGGAGAAATTAATAGATGGACCTATATTTCACTTATCATGTTGACACATCTATCCACTTCTTATAACTAGCTAGAGTTATTTCAATGCTTTGTAAGTTAAAACCTTTAGCTTTACGTACGATATCCTGACAAAGCATGATAGTTTAAAGGATTTGTAACCGCTCTCACGAAAGCTAGAAGTAGAGCACATCCGCAGGTCAACTGGTAATATTTCAGAGGTTTGACGCACTGTTACAGAAACTGTTCTGTACGGGCAGTGACATGTGAATGATTTTACGTAAGGTGCTTGTTATTTGAATACAGAAAGAGAAGATTGTGTTAACTCAAAACTTGTTAGTTCGCTCCAGATAAAAACCTTGTACCACTGGGACATTAAATATTTTGCACATTTCAAAATAAAGCACAATTTTAGTATACAAACTTCTGCATTGATTAAAAACACCTTTTATCATTAAAAATGATTTTTTTTTCGTTTCAAATAGTACATTTAACACAAAAACAAAATACACCTTCACACTTTCCTGCTTTCGTCATCATCATCATCATCATCATCATCATCATCATCATCATCATCATCATAATCATCACCACCACCATTACCACCACCACCACCACCACCACCAACATCATCACCATCATCATCATCACCACCACCACAACCACCACCACCATCATCACCACCACCATCATCACCATCACCATCACCATCATCACCACCACCACAACCACCATCATCATCACCACCATCACCATCACCATCATCACCACCACCACTACCATCATCATCATCATCACCATCTTCACGATCATCACCACCATCATCACCATCACCATCATCACCACCACCACCACCACCATCATCATCACCACCACCACTACCACCACCATCATCACCATCACCATCATCACCACCACCACTACCATCATCATCATCATCACCATCTTCACGATCATCACCACCATCATCACCATCACCATCATCACCACCACCACTACCACCACCACCACCACCATCATCACCACCACCACTACCATGATCATCACCATCATCACGATCACCACCACCATCATCACCACCACCACTACCACCACCATCATCACCACCACCATCACCATCATCACCACCACCACTACCATCATCACCACCACCACTACCACCACCATCATCACCATCACCATCATCACCACCACCACTACCACCATACCATCACCACCATCACATCACCACCACCATCATCACCACCACCACTACCCTCATCACCATCACCATCATCACCACCACCATCACCATCATCACCACCACCACTACCATCATCACCACCACCACTACCACCACCATCATCACCATCACCATCATCACCACCACCACTACCACCACTACCACCACCACCATCACCATCACCATCACCATCATCACCACCACCACTACCCTCATCACCATCACCATCATCACCACCACCACTACCATCATCACCATCACCATCATACGGCTATATACGTGATAGGTCCGGATCCGTACCGGCCAGGTCTCCCGTGTTACAAACACAACAATTTCATTTTATATTTTTAGCCCACCATCTATATACCGCTATTTCTGGAAAAGTACTGGATGGATCTTTCTCAAATTTCATATGCAGTTTCCCCTTGGTCCCTAGTTGTGCATTGTACCTTTTTTGGACTGATTCAAATTCAAGATGGCCGACAGGTGGCCATCTTGGATTTTGGAAGTAAAAGTTTGTTACTGCTATTTCTTGGAAAGTATTGGATGGATCTTTCTCAAATTCCATATGCAGTTTCCCCTTGGTCCCTAGTTGTGCATTGTACCTCTTTTGGACTGATTCAAATTCAAGATGGCCGACAGGTGGCCATCTTGGATTTTGGAAGTAAAAGTTTGTTACCGCTATTTCTGAGAAGGTACTGGATGGATCTTCCTCAAATTTCATATGCAGTTTCCCCTTGGTCCCTAGTTGTGCATTGTACCTTTTTTGGACTGATTCGAATTCAAGATGGCCGACAGGTGGCCATCTTGGATTTTGGAAGTAAAAGTTTGTTACCGCTATTTCTGAGAAGGTACTGGATGGATCTTCCTCAAATTTCATATGCAGTTTCCCCTTGGTCCCTAGTTGTGCATTGTACCTTTTTTGGACTGATTCGAATTCAAGATAGCCGACAGGTGGCCATCTTGGATTTTGGAAGTAAAAGTTTGTTACTGCTATTTCTTGGAAAGTATTGGATGGATCTTTCTCAAATTCCATATGCAGTTTCCCCTTGGTCCCTAGTTGTGCATTGTACCTTTTTTGGACTGATTCAAATTCAAGATGGCCGACAGGTGGCCATCTTGGATTTTGGAAGTAAAAGTTTGTTACCGCTATTTCTGAGAAGGTACTGGATGGATCTTCCTCAAATTTCATATGCAGTTTCCCCTTGGTCCCTAGTTGTGCATTGTACCTTTTTTGGACTGATTCGAATTAAAGATGGCAGACAGGTGGCCATCTTAGATTTTGAATGTAAAAGTTTGTTACTGCTATTTCTTGGAAAGTACTGGATGGATCTTTCTCAAATTTCATATGCAGGTTCCCTTTGGTTCCAAGTTGTGCATTGTACCTTTTTGGGCTGATCTGAAATCAAGATGGCTTGGATTTTGAGAGTAAAATCTTGTTACTGCTATATCTGAGGAAGTACTGGATGGATCCTTCTGATATTTCATAGATATTGGTTTCCTTTGGTCCCTAGTTGTGCATTGTACCTTTTTTGGACTGATTTGAAAGCAAGGTGGCCCACAGGCAGCCATCTTGGATGTCGACAGTAAAACAGCACAAGCATATTGTCCATTATCCAACTGTAACTGACTGCTATCTAATAATACATTGGGATCTTTTTCAAATGATATTTGCTAATAGGTGCTTAATAAAAATATCTTGTGCCATCATTGAGCACATTCAATGAAGACCAGTTCATGAACATTTACAACACCTGTAACACACAAAAAAATTAAACAAATCATCAAGAACTGAAAACAGATCCTCAAATGGTGGGCACCAAGATCCCTCTGGGATCTCTTGTTTGTTTACAAAATGATAGAAAAATCAGAGCGAATCAGAAGCCATGAAAATCTGTTTTTTTCTGACGGTATGAGATTTCAAATGATTCATGTTTGCGTGTTTACAATTATATGCAGTGAGTGTCTGGACTCTAAGTCTGGTTACATCTGACATTTTGTAAACTATGTGTCTAAATATTCAGTCTAATTGATTGATCTACATGTGCCTAATCTATATAGATCTATATAGATATAGATTTAATTATCAAAAGCTGTACTCTCATATACTTAGCACTTATCTATAACTCATTTCTAAATCCGACTCGCACATCTATGCGTTATAACTTGCACAAGTATGAGTTGTGCATGGTGAACTGTACTAGGACAGTGTACTACTGCTCAGACAAAGACGATTTAGCACTCCACACAATTCTATATCGTGAAAAGTTTCAAATTGTTACTATAATGTTACTTACACTAAGATATACACTTATTTTGAAATATTTTGATTACTATTTTTAAAAGACATAATGTGTGTTGTCTATTCTGGTAAAGTTTTGACATGCATTTTTGACTACACGTTTATTTTCCTTATGATAACAGTTAACATTTAGTGTACATAGATATTTAAACGCCATTTTATCTTAAAAAAAGACATAATAGCTGGCTAGTCACAGTGACGTCACTGTACAATATCTTGTGTAGAAATACTTATTATTTGTGTAAAATATCTGTTTTGAAACATACATTTTCCTTTCTTTGTTGTTAATGTTGTTAATTTATGAAGAATTTCCGTGTAGTAGTTAGTTACAATAACGTGATACGTTTAATTCCTTATTCGGCTACTAAGATTTTACATATTTCTAGTGATACATTAACTAAAGTTGTTGCCGTATTTTCCAACTAGGTCGATGGGAGGTAGCGCGTGGTGTAGGCATGCGTGCACCTGGGTCATGAGGAATGGGTTGTGTGTGTAAATCTTTTTTCTCGACCATTATGTGAAGGGGTAACGTAACATGTTTTCCTATTGTCAATGCTGACGGAGTAAAGCCTAGGGACTATTTTCCTATCAGTGTACATGTGGACATTGTCAGGAAGGTTCACCGCTCATTGATTACAGGTAAGGTGCCTAGAGTGTATTTATTAAGGTACCTATGCCAAAGGCTTTCGTGTCCTACTGTCATTGCCTTGGTCCGTCGTCTGGCGTGGTCAGTAGACTTTCCACATTTCTGTCGCTTCTTCTCAAGGGACATTGCTAAAACTGTGGTTGTTTTTTTTCTCTGCTTTTACATATAGATAAAATATGAATGATATGGTTGTAATTTCAATTTTTGTGCGGAGCCAAAATACTGAAACAGCAATAAAATGCCAATTCATTCGAAAACTGACGTTCTTTGTAAGGCATATACATGTGAATGTTTACAAAGTTTAAGGTCAATAGATCAAATGTCATCAACACTGACTATTTCACCCAGAATACCGGTAGATGTGGGATTTTGAACTCTTTGATCCTTGAAGGCAAAATGGATTGCTTATTTTCGTTAAGTGCTTACACGTGCATTTCGTATACGTTCACGTCGGAGGTGTATATAAGGCAATGCTGGGATAGTTCAGTCGGAGGTATATATAGTACAATGTGGGGATAGTTCAGTCAGAGGTGTATATAAGTCAATGCTGGGATAGTTCAGTCGGAGGTATATATAAGACAGCTGGGATAGTTCAGTCGGAGGTGTATATAAGTCAATGCTGGGATAGTTCAGTCGAAGGTGTATATAAGGCACTGCTGGGATAGTTCAGTCGAAGGTGTATATAAGGCAATGTTGGGATAGTTCAGTCGGATGTACATGTATATATAAGGCAATGTGGGGATAGTTCACTGGGAGGTGTATATAAGGCACAGCTGGGATAGTACACTCGGAGGTGTATATAAGGCAATGTTGGGATAGTTCACTCGGAGGTGTATATAAGGCACAGCTGGGAAAGTTCACTCGGAGGTGTATATAAGTCAATGTTGGGATAGTTCACTCGGAGGTGTATATAAGGCACAGCTGGGATAGTTCACTCGGAGGTGTATATAAGGCACAGCTGGGATTGTTCACTCGGAGGTGTATATAAGTCAATGTTGAAATAGTTCAGTCGGAGGTGTATATAAGGCTATGTTGGGATAGTTCAGTCGGAGTGTATATAAGACAATGTTGAAATAGTTCAGTCGGTGGTATATATAGGACAATGTTGAAATAGTTCAGTCGGGAGTGTATATAAGACAGCTGGGATAGTACACTCGGAGGTGTATATAAGGCACAGTTGGGATAGTTCAGTCGGAGGTGTATATAAGGCACAGTTGGGATAGTTCAGTCGGAGGTGTATATAATTCAATGCTGGGATAGTTCAGTCGGAGGTGTATATAAGGCACAGCTGGGATAGTTCAGTCGGAGGTGTATATAAGGCACAGTTGGGATAGTTCAGTCGGAGGTGTATATAAGGCACAGTTGGGATAGTTCAGTCGGAGTGTATATAAGACAGCTGGGATAGTTCAGTCGGAGGTGTATATAAGTCAATGCTAGGATAGTTCAGTCGGAGTGTATATAAGGCACAGCTGGGATAGTTCAGTCGGAGGTGTATATAATGCACAGTTGGGATAGTTCAGTCGGAGGTGTATATAAGGCACGGTTGGGATAGTTCAGTCGGAGGTGTATATAAGTCAATGCTAGGATAGTTCAGTCGGAGTGTATATAAGGCACAGCTGGGATAGTTCAGTCGGAGGTGTATATAATGCACAATTGGGATAGTTCAGTCGGAGGTGTATATAAGGCAAAGTTGGGATAGTTCAGTCGGAGTGTATATAAGACAATGTTGAAATAGTTCAGTCGGTGGTATATTTAGGACAATGTTGAAATAGTTCAGTCGGGGGTGTATATAAGACAGCTGGGATAGTACACTCGGAGGTGTATATAAGGCACAGTTGGGATAGTTCAGTCGGAGGTGTATATAAGACAGCTGGGATAGTTCAGTCGGAGGTGTATTTAAGACAATGTTGAAATAGTTCAGTCGGAGGTGTATATAAGACAGCTGGGATAGTTCAGTCGGAGGTGTATATAAGTCAATGTTGGGATAGTTCACTCGGAGGTGTATATAAGGCACAGCTGGGATAGTTCACTCGGAGGTGTATATAAGACAGCTGGGGTAGTTCAGTCGGAGGTGTATATATAGTTCAAGGTGCTGGGATAGTATCAGTCGGAGGTGTATATAAGCACAGTTGGGATAGTTCAGTCGGAGGTGTATATAATGCACAGTTGGAATAGTTCAGTCGGAGGTGTATATAAGGCACAGTTGGGATAGTTCAGTCGGAGGTGTATATAAGACAGCTGGGATAGTTCAGTCGGAGGTGTATATAATGCACAATTGGGATAGTTCAGTCGGAGGTGTATATAAGGCAAAGTTGGGATAGTTCAGTCGGAGTGTATATAAGACAATGTTGAAATAGTTCAGTCGGTGGTATATATAGGACAATGTTGAAATAGTTCAGTCGGGGGTGTATATAAGACAGTTGGGATAGTACACTCGGAGGTGTATATAAGGCACAGTTGGGATAGTTCAGTCGGAGGTGTATATAAGACAGCTGGGATAGTTCAGTCGGAGGTGTATTTAAGACAATGTTGAAATAGTTCAGTCGGAGGTGTATATAAGACAGCTGGGATAGTTCAGTCGGAGGTGTATATAAGGCACAGTTGGGATAGTTCAGTCGGAGGTGTATATAAGACAATGCTGGGATAGTTCAGTCGGAGGTGTATATAAGACAGCTGGGGTAGTTCAGTCGGAGGTGTATATAAGTCAATGCTGGGATAGTTCAGTCGGAGGTGTATATAAGACAGCTGGGATAGTTCAGTCGGAGGTGTATATAAGACAGCTGGGATAGTTTAACAGGACATTATAAGAATATTTCTTAGGTCATTCATGTGGATTGACCGATAGAAATATAACATTTTTCATAAAGGATATCTGTACAAGACATCAGGAGTTAAAATAACATTTTGTATGATGAATCGAGAGTAATCAAAATATTTAGACTAACATCTCGCTCATTTGAACGCAGAAGAAAAATGATACCGGCTACAAAATTTACATTCAGTATAAGATTTCCTGTGAAAACACTTCATCGGCATTATAGAGCCTATTAAACAACAGTACCTCCACCAAGCACAATGTGTAAATGTGAAAGATAAATAACCTGTTGTACATTTGACAGGTCTTTTTATCAGCATGCATGGTTACATTCAACTGTCCGTTGAGAAAACTCGGGTTTAAATAGTGTAAGCAAACTGTTGGTACCGCAGCTGGTAAAATGCAGACAACAGCGCTTGTTTAAAGAAGTCTTCTTGTTGGTCTGGTCGTGTGTATCCTGGGCTTTCTGCTCCTGAGTTAAAATAATATTTTGCCGCCTTTGTCTACCAGCTTGTCTCCCCTTACTGTCAAAATTAAAACTTGGGAATCTGAGTTACCTAAAACATCACTATAAGACCGATTCTTCGGCCAATTATATATGTATCCATCCTTCGATTTGATTGGTTTAACTCGTTTGGAATGTAAACATTAACCAATCGAAAGTCCCAGTTTTCCTGTAAACCATCTGCCATCACTAGACATGTGTTTGACCTACTGAATACACTTGTTGTGATGCAGTCGAATCGCTGTACATACTTCCAAAACGCTGAACGGAAACAAAATCTGCACACAATACGTCAGCGTCACGTGCCTGGTTTTATAAACACAATTTGACATTTTAGTAGTGTGAGGCAGATCATATCACGTCTTACCTGAACATAGATATAAAATACCGTAACCATAATGAAATAACAGCTTTCAGCGTTGAATAGTGAATTTTGTTCATGGTCATAGTGATATCGTTGATGTCATGACTTATTTGGTGTGGAGTAAACAGTTTTAAAATTAGATTGACTTCATATCCCGTTTCATGCCAAGTCAAGCGTGACTTGATGGATAAGTTTATGGAATCCTTTTTGTTGCATTTATCGCCCCGTGAATGGCCAGGGTCATTTTAAAACATGATATCTATGTCGAAGCTGGTGGCTGCCTAATTGAACAGCATACAACAGGCCCGTCGCATGTCTCTAAAGCAATAAGAGTAAAGTGTCTTGCCAAAGAACACATCTCTATCAGCAAAGACCGATCCTTTTCTCACCTTACCAGGCAACACAAACCGTCACACAAAGGGGGCGAACCAGGCACATCGATTCTTAAGGTTAATGAGTTAGTGCAATTGCATTTACCTCATGTTTTGTTTTTTGTCAAATTCAGCATGGCGCGATACATTTGTGTAATTACAATGACTTCATGTTTCGTTCCATGTCTAGATAAGCATGGAGTGATATGTTTGTGTAATTACACTGACCTCTTGTCTCGTTCCATGTCTAAATAAGCACGGAGTGATATGTTTGTGTAATTAACCTTATGTCTCGTTCCATGTCTAAATAAGCATGGAGTGATATGTTTGTGTAATTACACTGACCTCTTGTCTCGTTCCATGTCTAAATAAGCACGGAGTGATACGTTTGTGTAATTAACCTTATGTCTCGTTCCATGTCTAGATAAGCACGGAGTGATATGTTTGTGTAATTACACTGACCTCTTGTCTCGTTCCATGTCTAAATAAGCACGGAGTGATATGTTTGTGTAATTACACTGACCTCTTGTCTCGTTCCATGTCTAGATAAGCACGGAGTGATATGTTTGTGTAATTACACTGACCTCTTGTCTCGTTCCATGTCTAGATAAGCACGGAGTGATATGCTTGTGTAATTACACTGACCTCTTGTCTCGTTCCATGTCTAGTCATGCACGGAGTGATATGTTTGTGTAATTAACCTCATGTCTCGTTCCATGTCTAGATAAGCACGGAGTGATATGTTTGTATAATTACACTGACCTCTTGTCTCATTTCATGTCTAGCCAAGCATGGAGTGATGTGTTTGTGTAGTATACTGACCTCACGTCTCGTTTCATGTCTAGCCAAACATGGAGTGAAAAAGATGTGTAATTACACTGAAGTCATGTCTCGTTTCATGTCTAGATAAGCAGTAACATCGTCGGCCTTTCTACATC